CTGTAAGTGAACCCTTCTCTACATTTTCATAGCATCTGAATTTGGATTGCATCTTTTTTTTTAATTATTCTTTCTTTCAATTTTAGTTATGATTAGGGTCCATACTTGATTCCTCTAGCTTCAATATTGTCTTGACCTCCAAACAAATTACTGTTAATGCAAACTTTGAGTAAACAACACAATGAATCTCATCATTTCATTTTTACAAATAATTCAGTTCTGAAGAAGGGTATACTTCTCCTAAATACACCTTCCAGCACAACCTGAAACAATTGAATTTAAATCAAAAGTCCTGGCTGAAATCCCCCCCCCATTCTAAACATTTCAGTGGACTTTAGGGATCTCAGGATGGCACATCTGGCACATTAACATCTGGTGGTTGAAGTGAAATTATGCCCAAACTGCTAGATGGGAACAGTACCAGGGATGTGTCAAATCGTTCCATATACTGTACCCAAAGCCCGTGTGATGGTATCAGGGTGAGCATTATTGCATGTGCCTGCTACAAGGTTGGCCGTTTGAGTCAGGGCGTTGGTGTGAAACTGTCAGATCAGGGGCCCACAGTCCAGAGGTGATCCCAATCAACACACGGCCAATGTGTATTCATCTGATCAAACATGGAAGCAGTTCAGGCATGAGCCCTCAAGAAATGTTTGTGCAATGTCAACAGCTCAATGATGGAGTTTTAAAACCCTGCTGGCTAAATTCAGTTTTAGATTTTTTTTCTATTTACAAACTTTGCCACATCATCAAATTAGTCTTATCTATTGAAGCCGTCTTTTTAATAGATACATGTATTTCTGGGTTAGTCCAAACAGTAACACAATGAAAGATCCACTAAGAGCAAAAACAATTCTACATTTCCAACAAAGATATGAAATGCCCAAAAATCAAGGTGGGGAGAGGTTTGTTTCCACTAAACTACATACAATGTACATGTACATGTACATTGTACACACATGAATATACATGTACTTGTCTGGTCCAAAGCATTTTTAAGGATGTCTTCATTTCATGTAAAGAAAGGTTTAATGCACATACAGAGACACCAGTAAGCTTCTGTAACATAACAAATCAAATATCAAATATAATATTCGAACAACCTACTTTATATTCACCACTGACTGTAATAAATCTTTACATTCTAAGATGTTTTTTGTTTGGAGGGGACCAAAAAGTGCCCCTGAAGAAATTCAAGCACTCACCCCAAAACGCTCAGGAAATATCACCTGTTTTCATGTATTTGCCTGATGACCTCTTTCAACTTATTTTATCGCAGTTCCCACATAGTTGAAAGCCTTCTTTTTTTCAAGGCTTTGGGTTCATGCCTGTTTGTAACATTGTAACATTCATTTACAGTAGCTGTGTAGCCTACAGTACTTGATATGAATACATTGCACAATGCAGATGGTTTCAAGATTATGAAACTATGATCCGTGGGAACCGGGGATGGTTTCAATCAAGACAGAATGGCACTGACAGTTCAGCCTGACACAGGAGGAAACCGAGGATTAATTGATGTACTGTACGTGTAAATTGTTAATCTGTGTAAGCCAAACAAAAGGCCTTGTGACATCATCAGAACATGTGTAGAAAATAGATTAATAATTTGTCAGAGGAGTGGAAGGAGCTTTGTTGCTGCCTCTTTAAGAAGCAAAATGTACATGTATGACTTATTATTAAGCTAACAAAGTCAAAGGGTTCAAATCTGGCCAAGCAATTGAGCCAAAGAGAAACAGAGAATTGGAAGACCTCCAAATTGTTGGCATGGTTGGGATTGTTTCGAGTAAGGATGATGGGTTGGGAGGTGTCCCGGAACAAATGACTCGGCCTGAAACAAAGGCCACAACACTGGTCAACCAACTCCAGCCCTGAGAAAAGTAATTTCCTACCCCACTAGGAGAAATGCTGAGCCTGGAAAAGTCATTTCAACAATATGTACCAGGCTCACTTATGAATTATGCTGATGAATGCATTGGAAACCCAATCCCATTATTTCTGGCAATTCAGGCCTGGTTGTACCACCTGTCGTGGTGTGGATTCCCTCTGGTTGGTAACACAATATTTTTTTTCTCAGGGAAAGGTTATTGCCAAGAAAAATACTGATTAAATATAGTCACATATGGTATACATACATGTATATAAGATTTTGTTTATGCAGGTTTGAAATGAAACTGTTACCAGCTGCCCAGACAGGGTTTGAAATTTGAAGACACATGTACACATGGTTTAGTAGCTGAACTGCACATATCCAAAGGCCATCATGTGAATTGGATGTAAAAACTTCCCTGAGAATCCTCAACAAATGAAGTTCACACCAGGGACTTCCTTCACCATTGTTTGGCACTTTCAGTTTCATGGCACTTTAAACTACACATGAAAATGTAAGAGAAATTATGAATTAAAGGGGTTATATGAATCTATATGCATGTTGTATACCTGTATGGCATTGGCCAAACATTACACCAGCTTGAACTTATTTTTTATTTAAAAGGGATGAAAATGGTGGCAAAACTAGGGCTACATGTTCCTGTATTATGTCTGGGGGGGCACCCGGCGGTGCGCAGGGGCACCAAAAGACAATGACCTACTGTAGAGGTTGTTCATGGATTTCAAATGAGGGGGGGGGACATCTGGGGGACACTCCCCCCCCACCCACACCACTGGATGAAAACATTCTCCTTTACATCTGTTTTAGATTTCCTTTTTATAAAAACAAAAAGTTGATAGGATTATACATTTTGGATTCATGAGTGGATATCTGATGCAAGTGTCTGTATGTGAAATGTAATTTACTGGTACGTGAGATGTCAAAGATATCAAAGATACCAAACCAAACATTTGTTGACTGCTTTCTGAGAGATCCTTTGGGTGAATTTGGAAGATTAGTGACAACATCTACATGTACTGTCTTTCATACAAAACTGTGTCATACATGTACTTGAACTTGTACATTCTTTAAAAGTGTTTCAAAACAATACAGAAATCCTGTGGACAATTTAATATTGGTACCATCAAAACCTCTCTTTTTAAACTGGGAAACGTTTAAAATGGAATGTTAAACGGAAACGAAAATATACACACATGCACATATCTTTTAGAAATAAAATAACGCTTACATATAAAACTGTGTACATCTACTGTATATTAAGTGTTCACAAAAATTAAGACGATTCCCCCACACACACAATTGACGCTAAGGTTAATTTTCAAAGCACCTTTTCCCTGTATATGATCAAACCACCGTTTCATGAAGTACATGTACATATATAGCACGTGTACTGCTAGTCATTCAATAATTAAATGTACTCTTGTAGCACTTTGTGTTGGCATAACAGGGTGTACCCACCCCAGAGTACAGTCTCTCATTAACTAACAAAGTACCATATATGCACTGTATGTAGACAGACAGGCCACATGGACCTATACCTGTATGCTCCAGAGTGCACATGTACATGTCCTGGGTCATGACTCTGAGCACGCTAATTACCCTGGATTGAGCTTTGCACTGTACAATGTACGTGGTGGGTGTGTCTCATTCGGCCCCAATGCTAACAGAGAAATGGGTACAAAATCCACCTGTCATTACACTGCCCTGCTTCATGAGTGGCTTATTGGACGAAGTGCCTTCATTGCAGAAAAATGCCCCAACTTAACAACACTGTGTACTTTCAAAGTCGACGGTGTTTCCTAATATAATTTTAAAAGTGCTCCACCCAGATATTCTTTTGTTATCAGACACTGTTTGATGAGTTTAAATGGCCACAATATAAGTACTTTTCCATTCCTGAAAGTAAAAAGAAAATTATCGGTTTGGTTTGATGATTTGAAGTCACATAGAAGTGCATATGGCACGCCCAGCTCCACAGGAGTCTTGATTACCATGGAAAGCAAAATTGCGGTTTGGTTTTGGTTAAACTGTTGAGCATGTTGAAAAATACATTCATTTGGGAAAGAAAAAATAAATAAATAAATAAAAAGAAACTACTGCGTACATTGAATACATACTGATACATGTTTGTGGGCCTGATAGATCAAATAAATTAGCAATTTAATATTTCACAAAACTTGGGTGAAGTGAAAAAAAATTCAGGAATTCATTTGCAAGAAAAAGTGCAGAACAACACAAAATTTATTTTGACACAATCCCTCACTCTAAAATCTTGGAAATAAAATATTCTAAAAAATGTTTAAGTTTATCCCCACATATTAGGGTGTTTTTTTACTCAAAAACCAACCAAACACTGAGTGATGTATCTCATTCTGACAGCTTCATAGCATCAGCTGTTGAAGTGCAATTAATTCATGAATAATAAATGATGTTGTAAAGCTAGCAATATTGCAAATCAGTTGTTAGTCCAAATTCAAACGGAAGTCACTGTAGTGCATGAGGCAAATCTTTTCTTTGATGAATTTGTATTCATTATTAAGTCCTAGAATGAAATTCATTTTGTGGTAAAATAGTAATTTTGTCCATTTCTTGAAATGGTTCCTTCGGTTGGATGCATCTCTTACAAACACTTTGAATGCACTGTCAAAAAACCACCCCGTCCCGAATTTCAGGCCCCTATTAAGTTACACCTGAACCTTAAAAACTCTCCTTCATTTAAAATTTAGGTTGGTTTGCTTGGCAAAAAAATCAGCACAAATGTTCACAGCAGAGCTCAAGAGGCATCAAATCAGTACAAGGAGTTCCAGAGCATTCAAATGATGAAATGGAGTTTTTGCACTGGTAAATATGTTTCCCAGATATGTAAGGTTTAGACATCAGGATCAGACATGGGCTAGATATGGCATTTATCCTACATCAAACACCAACACACAAGTACTATATAAACACAATACCCTGTATTTAATGAAGAAATGTTCCTTCCTTCTTTTTTTTTTAAGCCATGCCAAAAACCAAATATGAGGCTTGGCATAATAAACCATAGCAAACCAAAAGTTTTGAAATGACACGTTCCTAACAAAGACATTAAAATGTGACAAGGACAACAATCTTCATGTTTACACGGATAAATAACAAGTAAACTTTATTTTTCTCCAGAGAACAACTTATGACAGTCACTGAGCAATAAACAGATGAGGGTATAAATATGTACAACTTTTCATAATAATACGTCAATTTCATTCATCACAATATAAACACATATTTATTGGCAAAACAAAAGGATATCCAGTCAAATTAGAGGCAAAGAACTTGCTGGCCCTGTTTAATAAAAACACTAGGAAAAATTATCTCTCATTAACCTTAGACTTGAGATTATGGGCATCGTGCCGGACCATGAGAGGGTGCTGTTTTCCGAGCAACGAAGGCCCCTTTGGTCAGAACTGATTTTTGCTGGTTCACAAACAACTGGGAAATGCACGGTCACATCACTACCAACAAAATAAATACTCCCGACCAACATGGCTCTTATCAACCCATGAGGGGGGTACTTCTGCTCCAGGCAGATAGACTTAAGATTGTAATTTTGGTTATAATCTACATGTAGAGTGTATGTAAATGTATGGGCTACTGGTATCATCTTTGATCTGTCCAAATACATACTGCAAATGCATACATGTACCATACATTTACTGTTCACAGTAAAGTACACCTGGTATCCACTTCATACATATAATGTATGTACTTTTGTTTACAATGTACGTGTATCTTCAAGCAAACTTGAATTCTCCAACGATGTGATACAGGCCTGTAACTATATATCATGGTTCATATCAAACTCAGCCTTATCTGTAATTTGAACTCCATGCGTTGTGCTATTTTTACACTAAAAGCAAAATGCACAGTTGCAACATTTACTGTAAATTCAAAGGTGGCGTGTCTGCGCACACAGTATACATGAATCTTTCCTGCATGTCAAGTTTCCTTGAAGATGAATTCCTTATCACGCTCGCGCGTGCGGAACAGGGAATAATGTAGTGTGTCTCTGTCCCGTGTTATACCACAAGGTTTAAGACGCATTACATTATTTTGTGTTCCACTCACGCTCCTGTGATAACTAACAGCATTATGATCTGATGGTATACCGTAGTTTTATGTTTGCTTACTCAGCAAGTATCAGTAGAGTATGAACTGGCCTTTGAATACAATGTACATTCCATGTACTCATATAGTATGTCCTACCGGTAATCCATGTGTTCTAAAAGTACGAGTTGAGTTGTTTTACTTTTCACAAACAAAAAATACCATTGATATTTGGGTTTGATTTCAAGTCTTTTAGCACAATAAAATACGGTACATTCATTTGCACAAAAAAAAAGAATAGGGGCAATAGTCAACGATCTTTCAGCATCAATAAATTGCAACAAACAGTGTACATGGAAAGAAAGAAACTCATTTTACACAGGTGTATATAAAAACCTACTCAAAACAAAAATTAGGATGGAATATCACATGGCATACATGTTTGGTAAATTACCGGAAAGATAATTCTTTATAAATTTGTAGAAACCGCACGGTATTTCTGTCTTGGTGACTGAAGGAACTCCATTTAACCAAATCTAACACGACGGTAATGACTGGATGTTCATTGCAGTCTTAAATGTTTACTAAGAAACCCATACACATGAACTTTTCCTTTTTTGCAAGGTTTTGTCTGCGGTTAATTTCCTTGCTCTACCCTTTCCAGTGAGTTCCTTTAAAATCCACACGATTTTTGGAGGATTTTGTAGGATTGAGAACATGCATGTTAACAAACAGTCTGAGGCCCTTGGAAGGTTCAAGTAGGCCTATAGTACAATGAATGCGCTACTGGGTTAATTCACAGTAAGCTATTTCAGAAAATTCAGGACAACTCCGGGGAAAATTCTCACAGGAGTCTGGGTCATAACCACTTTGCACCAGAGGACGAGTAAACACCATCAAGCTCTCCCTGTACACTCTTAGAGCTGATGGGTTAAAATCTCAAGAGCACCAACTCACCTCCAGAGCTGATGGGTTAAAATCTCAAGAGCACCAACTCGCCTCCAGATGACATGTTACACTCTCCATTAGTTTTGTATGTGCATACACACAAACTCTGAGAGGTCAGAGTAGGCGGGAACTTACTTGGCCACTGTGTACGGTCTGCTGGAGCAAATATTGCTCCTTAAGCATGCCTCAAAATGTTGAAAGAAACATCATACAGTAACTCTTGTGGATCAGCATTTGTTACATTTGGCTGTTACATACCAGAAGTTGGCCGCAATATACATGTACATGTACATATTTCACCTTTTTCACAGGTGTTACCTACATTGTAAATTGTAACCAAAATACTGACAATACATGTGATACACATCTGGCCCATCACGTGATCAATTATCAACCAATAAAACACGCACAATCAATGACTGTATTGTATTATGGTATGGTGTCTTTACTGGTAGCAAGTTATTACGTACATGTACATGTACACGTACGTCTTGAGTTGTTAAAAGATAAATCTGTGACTCACTATGTAAGTGTAACAAAGTAAACACAGCATATCGAGCCAAAGCCAGATCATAATGCTAGGCTAGGCTACGAACATGGTGAAGGTACCGGTTTATGTACATGTACGTACATAAATGAAGCACAGAACTATTAAACGCAAAGTTGGCATGTGCATGCAGACAGTAGAAATGAATAAAGAAAGCAACAGTCGGCCCAAATTGTGTTCCTGTTTTGTCTTGCAATTCACATAAATGAGTCAATTACACGTACTATGATATACATGTACATGTACACATGTATTTGTTTGAACACGGTGTAAGGTTGTGTTGTATCCATCTCAAACTTGAAAAAATGTTTGTAGTTAACTCTACCGTTTAACAAAGATCACAGTAAGAGCATTTATGAAGAACCAAGTAACTTGGCTGGTTCAATTTGCAACCAGGGAAAGTTCATGTTAAAATCCTACAAAAAAGTAACAATGTAAGTGCAGATGAAAAACTTCAATAACAATAGGAAAAATTGTGAGCACTCCAGCAAATACTTGCTTTCACATAAGAGGAAACATAAAGCATAGGTCATCATTTTGTAATGTTCCTATACATGTACCCAGTAATTCATCACCGTTTTCACCAAGTGACAAACCTGCAATTTACATGTATTTCTTCATTATTCCAAGAGTATGTCTGTGGTTTACCACTACGTCAAAATGCTGACTATATATGCAATTAACTGCGTTTTGCATTAAAGCAACGAATTACATGTGATGCTACCAGAAAAGCCAAAATGGCCGCCATGGTGTGAATCCAGTTCAATCTAAAATCCAATAACTAGAACAAAAGGCTCTTTGCCCACCACTCAAATTCAACTAAAACTGAACCAAAAGAGTTTGGACATCTATCAGGTAACAGTATCAAACTGTATTGTGGTACCAATACATACACATGTATAGTACATTGTACATGTTGCACTATGCAAGTAAAAATGAGGCAGACATAATTTCTGTGGGAAAGGAAGTGACAGTCTTTTATGACGATCTCCCGGGGGACTATTGTCATGTTAGTTCTGTGAAATGCATGTTTTCAAATCACTTGTCTGTGAACACTTTTGCAAAAGGGCACGTAATATGGGTCTTGTACTGTGTAGGGTGCAGTCTACTAATTAAGTGAGAATTTCTGGCCAGCTCATTAAAAGTGCCCCTACACTGGTATCTTTTGCAAAAGGAGAATTTTTGGCCCCCAAATGGTGAGACTGTGTAAATCGTTGCCAGGATCAACTCCCTGGGTGGCTAAAAAATATGGTTGAAAAATGGTCTTAAGTGCCAAAGAAAGTTGAGGGTTGCCACTTGCAAAATGGCTGCAAGCAGACTTCAGAAAATTCACTTTTCGAGGGGTAATTTTGATTTGTGGGAGTAACTAAAATTTAATCGGTTAACCCACAGAAAATTGAAAAGAAATTGAAAGATTATGGATCCTACATGTACAATAATCATAAACCTCAGGGATGTTGATACATATGTTACATGTATTGGGCTCTGAACAGTGCCAAGTTTACACTTTTTTCAGTGGGGCTTGAATTAGTGGACTACACCCTGTAGTGTGCATGAATGGTACAGTACGTTGCAAAGGCGTACAAGTACAAGTACATGTAGCCTACAGTGTGTAGATACAGGTAGTCTGCATCTACATTTCTGTTAGGAATAACCCTGGGGTAGTTTTTCCATGTAAATGATTCCTGTGTCTGGTAATTTTAGCCCACTGTGATAAAGGACAGTGAGCCACTCCCATTGAGCTCCCAAATGGAGGAGTTACTTGTATTTGATCACAATTTCAGATGCCTTCGAGTTCATCAAGAACATTTACGATGTACATGTACATGCACATGTACATGTACGCGTATGACGCACCTACATGTAAATGCATACTTTCAATATCACAAGCAGTAATTACAATACACATACATGTACACTGTACATCCGAGTACATGTACAGTACATGGTCATCAGGCATTGAACTACCGTATACACAATACTGCCATGTAAACAAGACCCACCCTAAGTCAGCAAGGTACTGTCAGACCCTATTGGATGTGCCACATTTTCAGTTTCTGTTACATAGACATGTACGTGAGTACCGGTACATGTGAGACCATGACATGTGCAGCCGTGTGCAATAAAGCCTTTTTCATTTCACAAACCAATGAACACATTTTCCAAAGGACATTTTTCACTGCTATCCTTTAGTAAGTTTGCACTTTTTTCCCTCTTTGTTTTCAAAGCTGATCAAGTACAATGCAGTTGCCACCGCACAGAGTTGCACAAATTGGTTCTGTTTTTGTTCACGTATTTCCTGTTTTATTGTGCAATACATGAACATGTACATGTACGTTAGTCAGAATGTGATTTCACATGCACTGTTTCAGTTGAGACTTAAAATGAAAGCCATCAAATGTCCAAGTCCATAATGTACACATAAATGTGTACGTACATGTACATATTGTACCATGCCGGTAAGGTGGAACATTCAATTTATCATGTTTATAACATTCAAACCAGGGTTGGCAAGTTCTATGTTCTATGTCCTTTCTGTGGTGCAAACATTTAGAGAAAAAAGTACATACCGGTACCAGTAAAAGAAATTTGAAGTTTATGTAAATTTGTCAATTCTTCCTATAAACCTGCACGTACTCTACCTGAAAATACAGTTTACATGAATAACATGTACGTAAGGTACCCTACATACCGGTACTTTACGTGTACATGTACACTGTTTTCGTTTTTTCCAAAGAGGCACATGAAACTTACTGTACACAATTGCAGCTACAAAGAGGTACACATGTACACTAACAGGTACAATACATGTCCCTGCCTGTGCACTTTTGTATACATACATGTACATACATTGTGTAGTAAAAATGTGCACACAAGGTCAACGTGGACAGGACAAGTCAAAGATTAGTCTCATTTCAAGGCTGTCAAAGCATGAAATCTGTAGTCATTTCAGGAGTCCATATTTCATTCCACTGACTTCCTGTCTGACACATGCTTCAGTACAAGACCCTGAACTGTAATGAAACATTTGGGAGAAAAGTGATAACTTTTGTCACATTCTTTCCAATAAGGTTTAAAGAGCAAAAACACACACACTGGCCATATTGCAGCATTCAATTTCCTCAGGGTTGAAATGAGCACTTTTGACAGCTTTTAACAATTCAAATTAAAGTAATGTATCAATTTTGTTGACCATCACAAGTGTAAATACCGGGTACATGTACACACAAGACATGGATCGTTGGTGATTACAGGTTTAAAATACATGAGAGTGTCTATGAAACTTGATATAAAACTAAATGTAGATCTATCTACGTGTACATGCTTCATAGGTTGGTTGCCCGGATTACAGCTTTCTGGAGTGCTCACATGGAAGCAAGCTTGCTCACTTGTAAAAGGAAACAATTCATTAGTTTTGCACGAATATGTCATTGATCATTTATTGCTGTGACCTGCCTCAGCTGCTTTGATTGTCTCCTTCATTAGGGAACGAGTTAGTTGACCCGTTGGAACTCAGTGAGTTGGTTGAGGTGGACGGTAACGTTCTTGGCGAGCTCTTGTCCCGCAATGCCTGAGAGAGAAGCTTACCCCCATCAGCGACAGCATTGCAACACAGCCCCAACCGCTGCACAAGCTCCTGGTTGTGCAGGTCCTGAGATGCGGCTCGCAGGCAGCTGGCAAGCTGGATGCAAGAGCTGGCGATGCTCATGCAGCCCCCAAGAATCGCTGTCTGGATCTTACGGCCACTCTCGCTCAGCTGTGCTGGAGTCCCTATGTGTTCTCTCTCTGTGGCATACTCTACTAGGGCCTGGCAAGATTGCACTAGAGGTTTGGCAAAGGTGATACATCGACCTCTGTTGGCTTCATCCAGCGTGACTTTGTACCTCCGGATGCTTAGGAGGAGCGTGCTCGTGCAGGAAGTCACACTCTTAATAGCCAGCTTAAATTGCTCCTTATGGAAGGGGTCATCACTAGCGTCACTAGCAAGTTTGCTAGCATTGGTTAAGATAGTTAGATTCTTGGCAATCTCAGTGGAGATGTCCACTACAACTTGAGGTGAGAGCTCCATGAGAGGGGTGTACTGAAGCCGCATGCAGCAGTGCTCAATATCAAATCTTGCTCGCGATATCTTATAACGATCAATGATTCCCGGCACAGCTTGCTTGGAACCCGATTCACTGATTGCAGCGAGATAAGCTGCGTGGCTTGAACACTCTATGATGTTTACTACAAGGTCTGTTAACTCATTCAGCATCTCTGCAGTTTCCTGCAACTTCCCTGACAGGAACTGCAAGCGTATCTCCCGGCTTAATATCCCAACCCCTTTGGTCTTGGCAATGAGCGTGTCTCGACACTTGGAGAAGGACTCGCCCACCGCACCGGTCACATTGTCCGTATTCACCGGACGCGTGTCGCTGGTCAGCAGCAGCAGGTCAGCCACAGTCTGCATCTTGGCGGTGCACAGGTTGCAAACTATGCTCAGTGACAGGGGACTGAAGAGGTCGTTGTCATTTGCTGGGGTGGCCATACCTCGAGGGCTCCATCTACGAAGACATCTGACGAGATGGACACCTCACCTCTGAGTTCCAACCACAATGGGCGTCTCCTGCCTGGGTAGCAATCGTCTGTCCGTACATGACCCTGGCGCTCAAGCAACTGCATTATCGTCCCACTTCCAATCACTTGCTGGCGACACAAAAGGTAAAGCTCCTCCTTCCTGTTGGTAAGTCAACAGAGATCAGCAGCTGATGGGTGGGGCGCAGATGAGGCATCCCGCAGTGACAATGATTGCAGAGGACGTGTAGGATTAGATGAGACTATAGGAACACAAATCAGGAAATCCAATACACATGCTCAAAATTACAAAATGAACTTTCAATTTTCATCAGACGTCAGGGCCCTCCTATCCTAGGGAGAGTAATTAACATAAGTGGAACAGCTTGCATCATCTATGGAAAACACATCAAGTGACCACACTCTTTGGCTGAACATTGTTGCACATTTCTTTGTCAGAAGTACATGTACATATTCATGTACATAGTACATACACGTACATGTAGTACATGTACATGAAAGACACACTTCAGCTTTCGTACAAATTATTAATGGGAACTTTCACCCATGTACCGGTGTGTACATGTACATGTAGAATCTTCTCAAACTTCTGCAACATTTTGTGTTGCTAATTTGCATAGATGTACACTGTATATCTTGCTGCTGGTGGAAGGTCAGCAACATTTATCAAAGAGTGTATGCACCCTATGGTACGTGTACAGTACAGTGTATGTAATCTTGAACAAACTTGATTCCTAACCTTTCATTGTCAATCTGTGCCAATATTGAAATCCAGCTTATTACGTATTCCACTCTAAAGGTGTTTAAAAAAAAAGCACCAATGAACAAGCTTCATGTGGTACAGATATATTCATTTTTTTAATTTTATAAATAGTTATCCCCCAAACGCCATGTACCTGTATGTACACTGTACCTCTCCCAGTATTGATTCAAATCTAATTTGAAATCCGCCCCCCCATAAATGAAAATTGTACAGTTGTAGTCCAATTCCACTTCTTTGCATTACATGTCCATGGAAAGTCAAAAACATTTTCAAGGTACCAGTATTTTCTGACAAAGCTGGAATGTTTTTCAGTCTTACCGGTAAATTCATGACTTTTTAACATTAACCCACCTTTACTGAGAAACTACAGAGTGTCCACATAAAAGTATACCGAGATAAAAATTACTGTAATAGCAAAACTACTTAAAAAGAAATATATCTCTAGAAAGGGCAGAATGCCCTCTTGGTATACAGCTTGTGATGTTATTGACACAGATGAGTGAACAAACTAGACCGGTGTTAAGGGTACTGAAATCGGCACTGTGACAAGTTTGCATATGTGATTAATGAGGTTAGACCATGCAAGTGTGCAGAATGCCAAATGCCTTTGCTTTAAGAACGCATTCTTGAAAACAAGAAATGTACCTACATGTAAATCTTATCTGCTTTCTTTTCACTACTCACCTCATCAGTTTAATGTGCCTAGTCCTCCACATGGCCACCATTCCTGTCAATGCACATCTGACATCTTTGTTACATGTCCCTTACTGCTCGTCTGATCATTTCAAGGTCTTGACGGAGATTATTGACTTCTTCCACTTTCTTGCACGTTAACTCCTGAACATTAGCTGAGTGTGTAGTGAAAATTTGGTTCTGCAGGTAACGCCATAAAAAGAAATCGCCTTCACCCCACCTGCTGCCTTTTGTTATCAATATGCAACTTCTCACAGTTCTTAAAGCAAAGGCATTTGGCATTCTGCACACTTGCATTGTCTAACCTCATTTCATTAATCACATATGCAAACTTGTCACAGTGCTGATTTCATTACCCTTAACATCGGTCTAGTTTATTCACTCATCTGTGTCAGTATCACCACAAGCCATCGCAAAGAGGGCATCCTGCCCTTTCTAGAGATATATTTCTCTTTCCCATATATAAAGTAGTTTTGCTATTACAGTAATTTTTATCCCAGTATACATTTTATGTAGACACCCTGTATACATGTACATGTATGTCTGGATGCAACGCTGTCCAATTTTATTTTGAATCTCAAATTATCAAAATTGTACATTATGCAACTGCAAACTGAATGATGAAGGAAAAAGTTCCATATATCTAGTCCCCACCATTCTCCAGTTTTCATATTGTTATGTTGGGTGTGATCAGTTGATCTGTACCATTTGCTCAATCTATCACTGGATCCTGCTACAAGGTCAATATGGTACATTGTATCAGCTTCAGGTGATTGTATTTTCTTTCTAATTACCAGTTGTGGAAGTTTGTTCAAAAAAGGAAAGTGAAGTTTGAAATTTCACATACACACATGTACATGTAGGAAAGAGTTCCATGTACATGTACATGTATGCCACTTGACACCCAGTGTGCATAAACCTAATGAGACTGGTCTGAAAAATTAGGTTTTCGAAGTGAATACCTGAATACATGTGCTTCAATATTTTCACTGCTAAGGTTTTTAGGACCTGTTATTTTTCAGATGGCAAATAGGACACTGCAGGGTCAAATAAGTGGTGTCCATACATGGAATTCTTTCCCAACATGGTCAAGTGGTCATGCTGATGACAACATCCAGCATACATAAACATGTAAACATCAATGATAAATAAGTTTTACAAATACAGTACAGGTATGTATGACCAAAAAGCACTCCTCAGACATGTCAAACAAAATCAATTTTCCCTTGCTGAAAGGACTTTTGTTTAATGAAACCACAGAGTGAGGTGGTGGAATATTCTGGCTGGATTATGAACTCTTGACCGCTCATCTTTTAATGGTCTAAGTCACTCTAAGTGACGGTAGTGAAGAAATTGCAAAAAATATCTGTCTTTTTTTGTCACTTGAACCAAGAACATCTTAAAAATTCCTGATAAAGCAATGAGAAGGACTTACCTTGATTTAATACAATCACCTTTGCATATAGCAAATTACAGGTAGGCCTACATGAAGGCCTGCATACTGCACAAATGATCAGCACAGTAAGCAATGATGGGGTGATGGCATAGGGTCTAGCTGATTACACAATTTTCTTAGTAGGTCTACACGAACATTGGATGAACAGCAACAACGCTGGTTAATACATGGCGTGGAAGAACGATGGCCTTCAGGTCAGTCCCGGTTTGCTGATGGACCGCAGTTTGGCGGGGTATTATCGTATCTACAGTAGGACAAGGAGGAAACGAGCGGTAGGCCGTACTGGCGATGAAGGAAGCAACTCTCTCTGTGTACTGTACTAGAACGTGTGAGACAAAAAACAAAGCCAAGGCCCATGTATGATCATGATGTAGACCGTCCGAAACTCCAACTCTGGGCCTAAGGCCTACCCTTTAACTTCCGAGGAATCACATTCTTGAAACACCCTATGGTTCACACTTAAGGGCAGTGAATAATCCAAAACAAACCCCAGCATGAACAACTCAGTCAAAATGCGGAATTTAGGCCTTCTCTGTGTAGCCCGTGCGGCGTTTCATCACAGAAGCGTACACTGTACATGTACATGTACATGTACATACTTGTACATGATGTAGTGGACACACTGAACCGATTTCAGGTACCAGACATTTTCACGTCAGACTATTTTGTTTTTCAAAATAGCGCCACCGTGCGGGAAATGCACGTTACTTTATTCGTCCATCTTTCAGCTTCGCTGTTTATTGATCTTATGAAAGTGATTAAGTGACTAAAAGTCAACAAACATCATGTGGGTAAACTGAAGTTCATTCAGAAAATATCTCAATAGCTTACTTGCCAACACATGTCTCTTTTCTGCCACATTTCACCCATCCAGAATTCCAGAGAGCATGCTATAACAATGTGCGGTTTCGTTCTTTCCCGTCTCGAAGCGTGAGCGCATCACTTTCAAACTGAGCGCAATTCTTGAACAGATTAATTAATCCGCCATTGTACGGAAGACGCGAGTGGAACTTTCACCTGGAGGCGTTTCTCGATGTGGGGGTGCAGGCGGATTGAAAAAAAGGGGTTTTGTGGAAAATTTATTCCAATTTTGTTTTCCGGTAACTAATCATAATAGGCCCATAAATCCAATGGCCAAATGGCGTTCACCCAATACCTCACCGTGAATTCATATGTTTGCAATTCACCCGATCCCCAGTAAATAATTATTTCAAGTCATGCAAACAAGTTATGAATCATTACGAAAATTGTTTGGGGGCCCTTGGACGTTTTTGTGCACTTGGTCAACTTGGCACTTGTGCTTGGTGAAAATTCCTCCCTGGTTGAGTCCACCACTGCAGAGGTCTTTCAGGAGAGTGGAAACTGATTTGATACAAGGGAGCTCTTGCAATGTTGCTGTTTGTGCTAAAAAGTGCTGATGATGGCAAATTAATAACGATTTGATGAAGGCTGTTCCACTTTCTTGGGGAAAAACGATTTTTTAATGTTGCATGCTGAGGAAATATGGGTTTTCTCAATTCGTTTCTTGCTGCCCTTGCCTCCTTGCAGTTTTTTGGCTTCAAGATGAAACTGTATTTGTGATGGTGTGACAGCTGGTTTTTAATGGGGTTAACACGGGCCCGTAGGCTGGAGGGGGGGGGGGCTTTCGGAAGGTTCGAACGAACCCCCTGCTCGCTTCCGAGTTCCGCTCGTTGGTGGTGTTTTTTCTCAACTTGTCATTTTAAGCCGGGGTTTACGGTTTCTCACTCTGAAAATGCTCTGCAGTTTATACTGAACTCCGCCAGGAGCAATATTTTACCTCCAATTTCACAAAAGGTGAAGTTTAATCAAACTCCTGATATTTTGATTCATAAATGCCGATTTCACATACCCGCTACAATGTTCTGATGACATTTTATTTTGGTCCGATTTTTACCCGAAGTGCAAATTTTTAATGATGCACCCCCAATTTTTAAATAATTTTTTAGTTAGGTGAGTGGAAGTAATAATGATTTACGACAATTTATCTCTTTTTGAACTTCTGAATTTTTGTGTGGGTTTTTCTAGGATTTTTTAAAAAATGATTATGTTCATATCATTCGCTAGTCACCCAGCGCCCAATTCAACGTGCTAGATGAAGAGCGAATTCATATACCAGGCCAATTTACGATACGCTGTGAACTTAAAAACTGAAGTAGGGGCTCTATACAAGTCTTACATGCATCCTTCAGTTTGCGACAAACATGGAACTAGTAACCCTGTGTTCCAAAACACATTAAGATAGGCCTTTGTATAAAAATATGTGCTAAACGTTCCACTTTTGGGTTTGACGACCCCCCCCCCGTCTCAGGTCAGGCAACGGGCCTCTAACACCATGGAGGTTCAAATGATGCACCTCAGACTATATGAGATACCAACGGTATGGGGGAGGGGACGACTAGGGTGAAATTTTCGGGGAAGGTATCAAGCGGGGGTGCACGTATTTTTTCATCAAGGGGCATGCACCGTAAACTAAACTAAAAAAAACATCGTCTTGTGTTCAGCTTGTGTTCATGTCGAAATTTCACACGGGGTGGGGCAACTGTACGCTACTATAGCGTATTTTTATGCGACCATTTTTATGTGTTTATTTCAAGGATCCTGCGCACTTTGATGTGAAATGGACATTGTCTATAGTACAGTGACCAGATTGAAAAACTGAGCAAAACGATCTTTACTCAACGGCTCTTCCCCAGGAGTGGAATTGCCGTACGCGCACTTTTTTTATTCTTATTTTTGCCAAGCAACAAAACCTTTCAGTTATAACGGCAACCTTTTCTTGGATAGTTCTATTAAAAAAAATTATATATGATCACTTTCATTTATTTATCAGTATTCAGTCTGAACGAGTTAACTTCAAATAAGCAGCCGGTTGAAGCCGAGAATTACGGACAGGGAAAACGGCATCGCTGCGTAGCGCCATCTAGTGATGGCTCGTATTTCTCAAAGGAAATCACTTTAAGGATTTTTCATACTTACATGTAATCAGTTTTGACACCTTTTCTGTTGGGACGCAGTGCGGGGAGGGGGGGGGGAAATCCGTCTCAGAAAAAAAAACCCCAATCTTCTCGTTCCTCCCAAATATGTCAATAACAAAGCCCCAAAAGTGGCCTCACCCCTCAGATAGATTAAACTGATTAAAAGTTTCCGAATATTTTGGCCCCTGGGGCCGAGAAAGAGCTAGAGAGAGAGAGAGAGGTGCAGGGGAAAGAGAAAACAAAGTCCCCCCAAAATTTTGAGACTACGTCGCCTCAAAATTGAAATATCATAAAACCTCGCCTTGATGATTTTCCTTCTTTTAAATGATCAAAATGTTTAATTACATATATACAGCATTGTTTCAGAGCTCATTTTCTCTGTAGTTTGCAGTGATCCAATGCTGGCAGAAGAAATAAATAAAATATTCCATTAAATACATAAGCAATGGGCACATGGTTTTCTTTCTTAATTTTAATAAAAAGTCTCCGTATAAAACTTGAAAATTACCAATAGTTTTAAGTTTGTAAATGTCATCAGTCTTGTGTATTTTGTTCACCTTTTTAACCCTCATATTCATAAACCTATGCAAGCATTCATGTATTCTCTGTGTTGACATATGTCAAGCATGGATTGGCGAGCTTTGTGGTTACACCTCTGTTGACTCCAGTGGGTGGAAACGTGACCGCTACATGTATGTCCTTGTTGGGAGGGGGAACAGTCTGTCTCATTTCAATCCCTCGTCCCATCCCAAAGCCTTCTCTCTCTCCTCTAATTTTTTTCTTTCAACCCATCAATTTTTTTCATCTATTGGGGCTCCTTTTTTATACTTTATTTTCTTTTACCATATTTGATATCCTGTCCTGTCTTTGAACCAAATTAAACAATAGTCCTGGAAAACAAGAACATCTAAATAGCTGCACTTTTGAAATTTATTTTTGCATCTTTATACTAAATTAATACAAATAAACCCACATACAAAAGTAGCTTTTTCAGAGCGCATACAAAAATTTGCAATAAAATATATAGGCATTACCCTACAATAATTTACAGCTAAAATTCGCACATATCACAAGCTCAAACTCCAAAGCAGGCATCATGTTATAAAACATTACAAATATCAGTTGAAAAGACAAAATCCATACACTGCAGAGCTAAAACAATCTGCTTAAGATGAAACCTCGCTAAACTCTGAACATAAAAACACAGCAACACACACAAAGTTTAGCAAACGAAACAAGGGCATTGATGTACTTCCGTAAATTACCGCTGACACATTACACGCCCTGGTGCTTGAGAGTACTTGACATATTTAATGGGACCGTTGTCAGATTTTTGTTTAGTGGGGGGTGATTTGGGGGAGTGGTTTGAGGGCAAGAGGGACCTGATACAGTGGACAAAACCATTTTGGGTATGATGCACAATGACAGCTACACGTCTGCAGGTAGAGGTGGAGACAGAGTAGGGTTCAATGTGGAGGGTAATAAGAATACAGTTGGAGATTTGGCTGAA